GCCCCTGTAGAACCACATCTGTCTTCACGCCTCCTGCTCATTCTAGCCACCCCAGCCTTGGTATTCACACCTTCCTCTCCTCTGCTCAGCAGTCGTCTGGTTTCCTAACTGTGCTACAGACTAGAACTTTCTTAAGTAAATAAGAAGAGTCAATCACAGGCTATCCCTTCTCACAAGGATCCACAGTCCTGCACTTCCTGTGGCCCAGTGTCTGAAAACATTTGTTTTATATGTTATGTTTGACTTCCTAGTAGTTTATGATCGAGAACGATTCCCACAGCAGTTAATCCTTCACAGACAAAAGGGCAAGTTTCTAACTTAATTGTTTTTGTTATTAGTTTGTAGTACAAAATGCCATTTAACTAATAAAGCATGCCTTCACTGAAGATTGGTAAAGACTTTAAAAAATTTTTGAGAAAATAATGTTTGGAGTCAGTTCATGAATATTCTTGAGTTTTACAGGAAGCCAGGCTTTGAGAACATTTTTATGAGACATTGAGTTAGGAAGAAGAGCCTTCACATTAATCTGAGTTGACTGAGACATCACTCATAAGCAAATGAGCTTTGAAGCTCACATGTAAAGTGTTCAAGGCTGCTGCAGCAAGTGTGGTGGTGCACACCTACAACGCCAGCACTCAAGAGGCACTAGAACCTAGGCTACCATAGGACCTTGTCTCAAAACTCCAAGGCTGGGGTGGAGCTCAGTGGGACAGTGATGGCCTTGGATGTACAAAGCCAAGCTTGATCCCCAGCACTAAGGGGGGCAGGGGGAAGTTGAAGGTTTTGAAAAAGCCCAAATCATTCAAGGGGAAAGAATAGGCCCTTCCATACACAGTGCTAGGACCAGGATCTGAAAGCAAAAATAGACCCTGGATTGTATCAAACCGAAAACTTCTACAAAAGAAGCAATCAACAAGAGACAACCTAGAGAATGGGGGAAGATACTTGCCAGGAACTGTTGTGAGATCAAGGTTGGTCTGTGGCTACATAGTGAAATATTATCTTAAAAAAAAAAGTACTAAGTGAATTAAAAAATTGAGCCAGGCTCATGTGAATGGTTAAGGTGATCAATCATGTCACGTGTATTTTACCATGATTAAAGGAATTATTCACATATACATATAAGGGCAATTTGTGAACTTACTAACAACTTAATGCTGTGGAAAGGAACTTGAGTAATAAAAATAGGATAGTGAACTGAGAATTAAAGGTCTGTATTAGTCACTTATCTGTTGCTGTGATAGAAACCCTGGCCCTTCCTTATAGAAGGAAGAGTTTATTTGAGCTTACGGTTACAGGGGAATTATAGTCCGTCATGGCAGGGAGGCATGGTGGCTGGAGGCGGCTGGACCAGGAGCAGCAGAAGTTAAGCTCTCACATCATCATGCAGGCACAGAAGCAAGAGGGTGACTGGAGATCTGGCAAGGCTTAAGAACTCTCTAAGCCCACCCCCAGGGACATGCTTCCTCCAGGATAGCCACCATCTGGGGACATCATCTGGGGACAAAATGTCCAAACACTTGGAGCCAATGGGGACATTTTCATTCAAGCCACCACAAGGTCCTAAGACAAACCAGGTGTTACTGGTACAATAAACAGAAGGTTGGTGGGATTCCAGAACAGACCAGCTTTGAAATCCAAAGCATGAGCTAGCGCCCCACTCAAGGCTTCCAGTCTTAGTGTTATATTTTATGTGTAAGTGTTTCGCCCCACTCAAGGCTTCCAGTCTTAGTGTTATATTTTATGTGTAAGTGTTTCGCCCCACTCAAGGCTTCCAGTCTTAGTGTTATATTTTATGTGTAAGTGTTTTGCCTGCATGTACGTAAATGTACCCAAGTGTGCGCAGCACCCACAGAGGCCAGGAGAGGGTTGGATCCCAGGTCCTCTGAAGAGCAGCTGGCGCTCTCAGCTGTTGAGCCATCCCTCCAGTCCTTGATAGGGAATCTTAACAGAGGTCAAGCAGTCCCGATTCACTTTAAATGTACAGTGCCAAGCTGGAGTGCAAGTGGTGGGTTGCTCTGGGCCTGCTATAGGAGGGATGCTAGCACAGGGCTGGGAGACCTCTACTGTATATGGTTCTAATTTCTCTAGGAACTGAGGAGTCAGAGGGAAGGATGCCAGAATAGCCCTTCTGGAGGGGCTGGAACTCACCTGACTTGGCCAAGGCTCCACAACTTCTGGGATGGGTACATTCCCTTCTCCCAGTTCCCTCATCTTTACCCCCTCCTGGGGTCTCCCAGAGTGATCTCCTCTCCCTGGCTCTTGGCTCATGGTCTGTACAGCATGACAGATTTCTCTGGTCTACCTCTTCGAAGGAACCCCTCACCTCCTGACAGAGTTGAGAGTACCACAGAATGTAGCCACTGCCCTCACACCTTCTTTAACCTGGCAGACCCTAGGAGTGTAGGCCGCATCAAGTTGGGCCATGTCCCCCTTGCTCCCCCATCTAGGCACCCTGCCAGTCAGTCATCTTGGTTCTTCTGGGCGTGGGTCTTCCTAGTCCACCTGATAGGGCCCAGCCTGAGCTCCATGGAAGTCTCATTCCTTAGCCTTAAGGGAAGGGCCGCTCTTTATTGTAAATACCACCTATGGTATGCAGCCTTCTAACACACCTCATTTTTAATCTCTTGTCACTTACACACGTAAATTCCTGCATTCATTATTTAAGTCACAGCCGCAAAGAGCTCCTAATTCATCCCAGGCCTAGCATTAGACCAATTTTACAAACAATGTACTAGTTATGAATAGGCATGCTGTAACTGCCTTATCTATTTCATAATGAAGAATTCATGCATATACCTGGCCTTTAAAAAGTTATGGGGAAGGGGGCATTATGCAGGTACCTCTTTACTAAGATTCTTGGTAGGTAGTAATGTTCTGGAAGTCCAGGCAGGCAGTGAACTTCAGATCTTGGAAGGACTTCAGTGGTTACTTGGTCACCTCTACTTATTTCCTGTGAAAAGTAGCCAAGCTCCCCACTGACTGTGAGACCTGCCCAAGGTCACCACAGCAAGAGACCAAGACAAATAGCACTTGTCACAGCTGTCTCTTATTTGCTAAAAAAAAAAAAGATGAATCGATTCATAGTGCTAATTTTAATATTTATCAAACCAGTGGTAGGAATGAATTTTTAATGCAAAATAACTATTTCAGGCTAAAAAATTGAACAAACTAGGCTTTTAGCGGTACATAAAGCTGTATGAATCCCAACCTACTACTGCACAGGAGGGTAATGGATTCTTAATTGAATCTGTGCCTCAGAGTGGAAGAATGATTTTTAAATGGAAAACCCCACAGAGGTGGTAAGAAATGAGTTTAGTCGGATAAATTATTCCAGCACAAAAGAGAACAAAACCAGGCTAGAAAATGGCTTTTTCTTAATAAATGCAATACAGGTTGCTTGCGGCCGGTGCATCTCAGCACCCACCTATATTCCTGGCCTTAGCCCTGTCTCCTGGTCGATTCCTGCAGACCCAGGACTCCAAGGTGTCACGGAAGCATGTCTAGCAGGTTAGGGATAATAGGTAAAAAGTTGGCGGAGAACTAGTGAATGGAGGAGGAGGCACCAAGACACAGATAAAACTCCATCAAAATAGGGTTTATTAGCAAAGAAACACATGGGACAGATTCCCTTCCAGGCAGGGAAAAATGTCGGCCCGGGTCTTGAGCTGGGGTCTTTTAAAAAGGGAGGCTTCTGCTTCCTGCAGAAGGCGGGAAGATGTATTTTTTTTAAAGTTGGGGGGCAGTGGGAGAGCAGGACTGTTAAAACCTGTCCTCTTCAGAGATCAAAGGGGAAGCCTGCTGTGTTGGCCAAACAGTGGAGAAAAGTCTGCTTCTCTTGGCTTCAAAGACCAAGGTGCTTATCAGCTAGGTTCCCTTTTCTCAGGAGCATGAGAAGTCCTTGGAATCCTGCTGGTGAGGGGGCAGGGCTATCTGAACCTTAACAAGGGACTCTACTCTCTTATCTCACAAATATTATTGGTATTTGAGACATACTAGCCAGAGCTCTCAAACGTCTGTAGGCAAGGCAACCACCCTAAACTCTAGGGGCTGGCAGAGAGCCTGGAAATAATCTAATCCCACACATTTTATAGATAAGAAAACTGAGGTCCAGAGAGGGAAGTGCCTGGCCTAGAAAGGTCACACGGAGTTAATGGCTCTAATCACACAAGTTAAGTGTTTTGACAGATCTGTGAGCTCTTGGGTAGCTCCATCTTTAGCTGTGAGGACCTCAGAGCCATGCTGTAGCCTAAGTGCTAATTAAACCAGAAGAATTATTAGATAGACTATTTACAGGTAGCAGCAAAGAAATTAATGAGGTCACAAACACAGGGTGCCGGTGGTTGTGTCTACTGAGATAAACACCATACACTCAGCCTTTATTAACACAGAACACGGGCAATGTATAGTCTCAACATTCCTGACAATGGGCTTGAACTTCAGTTGGTCTTGATGGACCAGTTACTAAAATGCTTCTTGTGTCATGAGGTAACCAGGTAACCCCACATCTGGCTAATGCTGCCCTCAGCTGGGCAACGGTCATAACCATCCTCCAAACCCATAAGGTGCTTCAAAGGCCTTCTCTATGACTTTGAGAGTTCTAAACAGTCAGGCAGGTCACTGTATCTCTACCGAAGAAGAAGAAAGGAAACCCATACAATTATCTTGAATTCTCCTTAGAGCAGCTTTACCGTATTACAAAGTCAACCAGCTTTTGGGTCCCGAGGTGTGCATGAAAGTGCTGCACAAAGAACTCCCAAGTTCACTTGGGACAAGTCACCCAGCTGCTCCCTCTACCTGTCCCCACTCCTGCACAAGGATGGAGAGCAGCCATTGTCTCAGGGCAATGTGGATTGGCTAAATCGAGCTAAGTCGGCACCAAGAAAGAACCAGCAACTACTAAGTGCCAAAGGTAGCATGCTATCCAGGGGTAAGCACTAACTAACCATCTACTGCCTCCAAAGGAAGCAAACAAAGTAGGGAGAAGAAAAGTCACACAATGTTGTTCAACACCATCTTTATTCAAAAATATATATCTATGAGACATTTCAGAATATACTGCTGCACCAATGGCAGCCTATGCTTCTAAATAAAGTCCTAAATTAATATACAAATTTAAGCTTTAAAAATATCCTTTAAGAAAAACAAAACAAAAACAAAGAAAGACTGAAGACTTTCTGAGGAAAACAACCCTAAAGGAAATCCTTGAGGCCTATGAATACCCTAAATAAACAACACAAAACCAAAAATCACCCACCCCGCCCCACCATATCAACTCTTGGGGACAAGAAGTTTCATTTAAATTAAACAAAGGAAGTAAGCACACATGTTGGGGAGGCTGAGAGAAGAAGGAAGGTTTAAAAGCAAAAGCATTTCATTAAAACAAAACAAAACTAACTTCCTCACAGGAAGTTCACTAGTAACAGGTGTTAAGAGGCCAAAACATTCATTTACATAATTGCTACAGGCTCATTTCTTGATCTTGCTGTAAGAATTATGCACCAATTGCTGGTCAAATACTCCAAAGGCTAAAACACAGTAGCGGGCTAATCCATCCCATCGCAGTATTTCACCTAGCCACCAGAGCAAACAGTTACTGCAGTCTTTCTGCTGGTCTGTGGCTGCTGCGAAACCAGTGCACCACGTGACACTAAAGCAGCACACCATGCAGGGAAGGGTCCACAGTAGACTGACTTCAGTGACGTCACTTCTGTCCTGTAGCTTCTTGAGAAAACTTAATGGTGACAGAACAAAGGGCAGAATGCATTCAATGTGAATAGCAGCCTCAACTCCACCAGGTACTATACAGAGCAACAGTACCTGCTGGACTCCATCCTCCCCACAGCAGGCTCCTCAGCTGCAGCAGGTGGGCATCTTCTCAGAGGGAGGCCTGCTGTATTTCATGAAACACGGGTATGTTTTAACATGTAAAATGACATGGGCTTTCTTTTTTTTGGTGATCTGGAAAACAGCAACTCAAAAGAGTGGAGTTTCTCAAGTCCCCTCCTTTTTATATTCCCTTTTATAGCTTCTGGATTTCAGCTTTGGGGCTATAATTCTTATTAGACTAGTGGGACAAAAATGGTTTCTGCCCTTTCCAATGTCAAAAATAAGCCTGCCAAATTAAGAGTGATTTACAAATCCAGGTCCAGTATTTATGTAAGATAAAAATCCTAACTATATCATTCAGTCATAATGTCAGCTGGAATGATAATAGAATTAAAACTCCAAATTAATCTCCCCTCCTTTCCCTTCCTCTGCTGGAGATGAGTCCTTAATGCGAACATTCCTCTCCTCGAATGGGCACAGAGATGCACACAATGGCATCGACTGCCTGACAGATAAGCTCAGGGTCCTATCTGCAGAGATGGTTAAGTTTAGACACCATACTGTGGAGTTAATGTCTGTCCCAGGCCCCAAAAGAAGGGCCAGAGCAACACCCTGGCAGAGCCCAGACTCCAATGGCTGGCACGTGCCACCACCAACAGCTACCTTTACAGCACCAGGGGGCAAAAGGTCCTGTTTTAGGAAGGTGCTCTGGGACAGCGGGGGACACTTGAGAAGTTCATCATGGGAAGGCTGTGGGAAATCAGGCAAATGATGTGTGATCCCTGTCACTCTGTATCTGCACTGTGACTTCATGTCCCTAATCAGCTTGGACTCTTATTGCTAGATTCTCTAGTTTGCTCAAAATTATTGCATCTAACTGTGACAAAACTTCTCTAGTAGAAGTAATGGTTGGGGAGGGTCAACGATTTGGCAAACTCTTCATTGGCAAAGTTGCCCAACGGCTGTGCCACCAACCTATGGGGGGAGATGGTGGTCAGGAGAGCCAACATCTGCAGCCCAAGTCCCTCACCAGGATTCTGTTCTGAAACTGGCCAAAACCCAGGTCAGAAAAGGGCTATTTCCAGGACATGTGCCGCCACTCAAGGCGAGCATCTCTTGAATTTCCAGAAGGGCACATGATTTTCATATCTTATGGGTGTGAGCTAAGAATGGAAAGCCAACAGGGGCATGAAAACATGAGTGGGAGAAAGTGTCTGTATTCTTAGCAAATACGAATGGAAACTGAGTTCACTGGCATGTTCTAAGCTGTGCTCGGGAGAGGAACCGGAGGAGAATGAGAAGTCAGAGTCCCCACTTCATTCTTAAGGCGGAGGCAGCTGGAAGAGTCGGAACCGGGGGCTAGGAAACTGTCTCCAACCTTGATTTGCCTTCTTTTCTCTGGCACAGATGGAAACCTGGGGCACGACACCTGTTCTAGTCAGTTGAGAAGAGGTCACCAGCAGAGGGCAGAGGTGCCAAGCCCCCTGTGACGTTGGGCAGCAGTGAGAGGTCTGGCAAGCTCTGAATGTGGGACTTGAGTTCCTTGCGGACCTGGGTTACTCGTGCAAGCTTCTGTTTGTACTCCTAGGAAGACAAGAAGACACCTCTATTACACTGTGGGCCCTGGGCATGCCACTGCCAGTCCACTAGCCCCACCCTCCTAGCTCTGCTCTCTCCCAGCAGACCCACCCTGCCCCTCAGCTCCACTGCCACACTGCAGTCTTCAAAGCCCCCAAAGATCTGAGCAAAGGAAGTAGTCTAATACTAGTGAGAGTGGGCCGAAGGATATCCAGCTTAGCACCCAAAATCTGGAAGCAAAGAGCAGTGACATAATATTTGCAATCTTTTCATCGGTTCTCAACAGTTTTATAGAGATACAGGTGCTCAAGTTGTGTCACATGGATTTTGAGGGCTACATCTAGACATAGCTAGACAAATCATTATGAAGATGCACTTTCTATGTTAAAGCTTAGAGACAACCCTAAAATTATCACTCACAAGCAAGCACTATAGGTGTTTAAAATACCCACCCATCGCCACATGGGTCCAGAACCTCCCTCCATGCCCACATAACTGCAGTCAGTCTCTGAGAAGGTCTAGCAGTCTCTGTGCTAGCTCCTCTAGACCTCCAAATTACCTTCTGGAGTTCAGTCACCATGCCCTCCTCTGAGAAGGTGCAGCTCCCACTAACCCCATGACTGCTCAGAGTCCACAGCATTCAAATAAATGTCACTGCTGCCAAACTCATCCCTTACTCTCCCCAGGCCCCTGCACAGACCACTGCCTGTACCAGCTATTCACTCAGGACTCTCCTCAGGTCCAGAGGGGTCTCCTGCTCCTCCGGGTCCTTGCAAAGGCTGCCTCTGCCCCTCTACCTACCAGCTGAACTCTACCTGCCTAGGAAAATCCTTCCCAGGCCCAGGGAACAATGTCCCACCTGCCCTTGCTCCACAGCCCACCTTTGCCTGGGCGAGCATCAGAGCTCCTAGCTGGTTGTTCCATGTTCACCCCAGTCATCTTGGATTCCCACATTTGTCTAGAGTGTGACTTCTGATGACACCAACAGGGCAGTTTTTTTCGTGCCGCCAGCTCACAGGTACTCCTCGTAAATCTGTATGGGAAATAGCTGGGCGATGAGAGGCCTGTTGCTTAGGGTCTCCTTGAGTTTTATTTTTTCCCCCATTAGGTGTTTCACAAGGATAAGGAGGACCCTGAGGCTGGGTCCTTACTGCTTGAAGACTTTTAGACCTGGGCACACTTGGGGAAACAAGGGCTTGAGGGCTCATGTAAACTATTAACAATGACTCCTCCATCAAACTAGTAAGCTCCAGACCCACTTGCCACACTCAGCAGCCACCACACTCCACGATGCCCAGCCCACTTGCTGAATGAATTAGCAACAGGGAGAACAGACATCAAGTATAAAAAAAAAATATCTTCCTTGAAGTCCGGCATGGTGGTGCATGCCTTTAATCTCAGCACTCAGGAGGCAGAGGCAGGCGGATCTCTGTGAGTTCCAGGCCAGCTGAGGCTACAGGGAGACCCTGTCTCAAAAAAAGAAAGAAAGAAAGAAATCTTCCTTGAACGCAAACTTCAGGCAACCCTTTCACTTTTGAAGAGCTCACCTTCAAGCCTGAGCTCAACAAGGTCAAAGTCCCTTGCCTCTGCCAGTATGAACATTTAAGTGATGTTTGTCTAAAGCATCAAGGCCAACAAATCTCTTTCTGACAATTAACTTCTTCCTGAACAAAATGCATTAATAAACTCCTACTGAATGCCACGCTGTAAAACAGTTACCCCTTGACCCTAGCCTGAACTCGCTGTCCTAGCAGACAAGCAAAAGGCACCTCAATTCAGTACCATCCGTCATCAGCAACTACACAGACTTCAGCTGAGGGAGTTTGAGAACCAATCAAGGGTCAATGGAGATGGCTTATCAGGTAAAGGTGCTGCTGGAACTCACATGGTAGAAGAAGAGAACTGAGGCCTACAAGCTCTCCTTTGATACAAAATAAATAAATGGAGAAAGAAATCACGAAGTTCTTGCAGTCCCATGCTGGGATCAGAATTCAAATTTTCTTTCTGGAGCTTCACTCTGGCTTACTTAAAGGGAAAGTGACGGTAGATAATGGGATCAGACACCACCTAAGTTCCAATAGCTCATCTCAGCAATTAAAAACAAACAAGCCTCAGCTGCTGCTGTCTGGAAGTGGAAGGAACATGTACGTGTTCATCATGCTTCCCCTGGTACTGACTCTACACAACTGCCAACACAACCTTGTTGAAATAAAAGGCAATATTCCACAACAGCCTTCTCCTCAGGTACTCTGAATGCAGACAGAGCTGCCCACAGCCTCTGCCCCAGGCTGCTCTTTTCACAGGATATCTATTTCTAGAACAGGCCTAGAAAGAAAGCATCACTAGAAAAGAGGGGAGGAAGGGGCATGAAAAAACATCAACGTTTTAAGACAGAATAAAAGGACTGCAGACATGGGGTGTGATGGTACAGGTCTGTACTCAGAGCACTTGGAAAGCTGAGGTAGAAGGATCACAAATTCAAGACCAACCTGGGATACACAGAGAGATCCTGTCTCAAAAGGAAAATAAACAAACAAAAGACCTAACAGACCATGATGTTTAAGATGTTTAAGGCCACGGTAACCAGGCACATCCTCTGAATACAAGTCAAAACTGCCTTTAACACACAGGCCTAGTAGCAGCAGCTGGATGACCTAGTTTAAAGTCTGAGAAGAGTTGAATAGGTTAGAATCCACAGCAAACTCTGAGTAGGTTAAGTTAGCAATTTTATAGACCTCACTGAACAGAATCAGTGCCTGCTCTATGATCTCCTGTCTCTTCCCTTTTTGAAAGCAGATTAAGGCTTTCCAAATAAAGTCAACAAGAAATGCTGTCACAGGCCAACAAATCAGATAAGAGCAAATCCAAGCAAAACTATCTGAATCCAACTTCAGCTCTCAATTCTTATTCTACTCTCCTGAGGCTCCGCAAATAAGATCAGGGTGCTCCCCTGCTAGCCACCTTCCTAGCTTACCCTGTTTGGTTCTGGGCAGGGAAAGGACATTAAGAATTTAGGAAAATCTAAGAATCTCATGTCTTAATGTACCAGCCTGCAGTCCAGCAGTGTGTGGTTCCCATCTGCTACCATAAGGCTCTAAACAGTGCCCCAGGCAACTCCTGCCTCCTTCCACAATGCCACCAAAACCAGCTTCCTGGAGTCTTCTGACACCCAAAGGGTGCTACATCCCACATCTCTTTAGCACACCAGCACCACTTGGATAGGGATAGGGAAAGGATGGAATATGGCCACATGTGCTTTGTTAAGAGTATCCTACACTTTGTGTGACCCTGGACCAAGCCTTTAATCTAACACTCATGCTGCCCTGCTTGGTCGAGGCCATAATGGGACATGGCAGGACAGAGCTGCTGCTGCTGCGCCCCTGCTGGCTGGCTGTCTCTCTCTCTTGCAGTCTTCCCAGTCACAGTTCACAAGGTCTTGGCTGTACTCTTCCTTCTTCCTTCACACTTGCCTTCTTCTTGGAAGCCCCCAAAACCCCACCCTCCAGAAGCCAAGACAAACCCAACAAGCCCCACGCCTTCTCTTCCTACTTGGACATACGTTAGCCCCTAGCTACTCTGCTACAATTGCAAACTGCCCATCTGACAGCGGTGGAGAGCCCTGAAACAGAAATCACACTAGACCTGATGCCATCATCCTAGGTCAGGAGCTGGGGGCTATGATAAAATGCCTGGGTTTATGTGGCTGCTAAGAAATGTTTCAAATGCAGAAGCCCCAAGGTGTGTTCTGAGATAATACCTACAATTTATGCTCCTGGTAAAGCTTTGGAGTCTTGCCTCACAGAGTCAGCAAAAACTGCAGGAGAAAACATATTAACATCCTCAGCTTCTGTGGGTCCAGCTGACACAGTGAACTTGGAGCACCAGGACGATGTGCTAAGGGAGCAGGGCTTCCACATTCTTTGCCTTTTATGGACAGGGCAGTAAGTCAGGCCTGACATGCTGCAATGAGCTCTGGGATAAGAGGGTTAAAAATGATAGGGGCTGACAGCTCAGTGACTTTTTTCTACAGGAATTTGATTTTCAAAACAAACTCATTAAGAAATGCCAATCAAAATGTAAACACTGTCAAACCTATTCTCTTTCTCTCTAGGAAGTATTTACACAAGTACTAACACCATGGGCGGGCCCTGACTTGCTGAGCCAGCTTTCCAGCTTCAAGGCAGTCTCTTTTTATCGTGCCCTATTGGACACATGGTATCTAAAACTCACCCACCGTACAACTACCCCCTGAAGAATCATAAAGGGTTATATCATGCACAAAGCAGTTTACGAAAGGCCTTGTTTTAAAGGTGGCCTGCCACAATGAACATAAGTCCAAGAACTGCGAGAGAGCCAGGCCAAAAGAGGTCGGGAATGTGGCTCAGTGATACAGTGCTTGCCTAGCATGCTCAAGGTCTGTGCTCTAATCCCAGCACCAGGAAGGAAAAAAGGAATCTAACCTTTACCTAGATATGATTTAACCCAAATCCTCTCATTCCACCAGAAGGCTTACCCCACCACTACAACTCATGGGACCTGCACTTAGAAATCACAGCCTCTACCTAAACACATTCATTCATCCAAACAACATATAAGTCTTTAGATTGAAAATAAGAATGCTGCTATGAATTTTCATCCAAGGTCCACGTGAAAACAACACACACAGAAACCACACCACTGACCTGCACCCTCTCAGCCAGCTCCAGGGCAGCTCCAGGCACATTAAATGATCATTTTTCTGGCTGTCACAGCAAGGCTGGAGCTGCTGAGCAAGACGTTAGAGAAGATACAAGGAGAAGAAACTGGATGTGACCCCTAGTGCACCTCAGAAAAGTGTGGGCAAAGCCTCCCGAAGAACAAAGAACAAGCCTACAAGAGAACACGGGGGGAGCCAAGGGCAGCAGGCTTCTCAGACACGGGACCATATCACACAGTATTTCTGGATGCTTCTTTTTCTCCAGGAGACCCTCAACAAAAGTGCTGTTACCACAACAAAAACCCCAGTC